TGCCTTCGGCACCCAGGTGCAGGCCTCGCGCTGCACTGGTGACGAGGATGCTCACATATCACCCATGGACAGGTCGCGGCCAGCATCGCAACAACGTCCTTCGTCCGCCACTCAGCCCTCCTCACAAGAAGCAGTCTTAGATGCCGAATATAAGTCGAAGAGATTGAGCATCGATTCTATTTCAGAGAAGTTGCAAAAACAACATATCCGTCTCGATACTATGGATATGTTTCGTCCGTCCAGGCTGTTCGCGTCTGAGGGCTCGAGTTTCCAAACGGGCCTAGAATTGGAGGTCGACCCCCGTTATCAACTTCCCTCACCTCCCGACACAAATCGCACCACATCCACCTCGTCCAGCGTGGCATCACCGCTATCCACACTTCCATTCTCTTTGGACGAGACTGATTTGAGTGCGCAAGACCCTAAGCGGCTAAGACGGCAGCTCACAACACAGTTCAACAATAACCCGCAGAATACGCGGACGATTCAGACTCTGGTAGCAGACATGATCTCTACAGGGGATCAATGCAATGTCTACTCGACAACGCCGTCATCACCGACCGTCATGGAGCCCGACAACAAGATGGAGATGGAACTGACAGCATTGGAGGTTGACGAGGCATATGTGGCAGATGGCGACGATATGTCATGGATGGAGACGCTGGTATCTATGCGACGTGCAAGCGGGCCAGGTGGAATCCGCAAGCATGGACAGTTGCGATATCGAACCTCGGCCGACATGGCCTTACGATGTGCTAATGTCGTGAGGAGCGTGCCGAGAATGCGCAAGCGAAGGAAAGACGCTGACAAGGGCAAAATGAGGCATCAGCCGAGTTTGTCTACCATCCCCAGCCATTCGTCTGTCCCCTGTCTGGCTCATCCGTGATGAGCAACTTTTCACTACTCTTTATTTGTTTCGGTGCAAAGATTGGATTTGCAAATTGCAGCAGCATATACCCCGGGATTGTTTTCTCGGCGCTAGATTGGGGGAGTAAACTTGCCTGAGATATTCGGGATGTCGTGCAATTGACATTTTGGGGGGCTTGCACACAAGGTTTATACAGGGGCAGCAGCACGTCGATCGGAGTTTGGGGCACATTTTGACTTTTGACTATATGGGGCGATCTGTGATGGCGGGTCATCGGGCCATCGCAGATATCGCTTACTTGGACGAGCAGCATAGACTCGGTCACCGATCGCTGGACATTTGGTGGAGACGCCTTGACCTCGAGGTCGCCACGGCTTTTACATGATGATGGGGACATATCGGTGCGCATTGGAAAATGTACGATCCAGTTTGCTATAGGCTTTGAAGGAACCCGCATCGCCGCGCAAGTGGGCGAAGCGATTGACGACTTACACCTCTTCCCGTTGTTTGCTTTGTGTGAATCCTTTCAGCCTTCTTCTATTCCTAGTGATGGTGATGTGTGACATCTCCAAAATCTCCTCCTGATCCAGCCTTCGGTGAGCCCGACGGTGGTTGCGCCCTTCTCGACGCTTTTGCGCTTGCGGCTGTCGTTCGCACGTGCGCCCTTGCTACCCGCCTAACAGCCACCCAAGATCGAAATAGCTTGGGTACTATTCTCAGGTATCCCTTGGGTTGTTGGTTGAGGCGAAGAAGCTCATTGTTGAGCACAACTGGTGGTTGCCCCTTCTCCCCCGGATTTTACAAGAGGTTTCGCTAAATGATGTTGCATACCAGCCGTTCCTTTGTCAACATAGCCGTTTAATACGCTTATTATCCGCCAACTTACGCTTTGAAATCGGAGCCCCTTAGAGACTTGTCCGCCAACTTATTCCGCCAACTTATCTGAACAAAGAACAATCAAAGTCCTTTGTGAAAGCATTCGAGTTTGCCAAGACCCACGGCGCACGTTTTGGGACCTCTTGGGGCCGGGATGCTTGTCAGGGAGGATCGGAGTCTCACGGGTCAAGTTGCGATGCTCAGGAATGCTCGCCCTGGAAACAGTTGTTGGATTACCTCATTCCAGCAACGCTTTACGCCTATTCAACACCGCCGCTCTCTTGCACAGACTGCTGGCTAACTAACCTGACCTGGTGCCACACGGCACATGGTGGCTCTATTTCCATATTTGTCGTTGCTGTAGCAGAGGAGAATTGTTTATGTAGCCGAGCTCCTCCTACCTTACAGCCGACTTACATGAGAAGTCGACACGCTTCAACTTCTTGCCAACCTGGAAAAGGACATCCTACCTTAAAGTCTTTTACACAAGACAATGACAATAAACCCTATGGTAGACATGGCGTCTTTTACGCCGTTCGATCTGCCTGCGGACAAAGAAGACATCTTTTGGGATGACTCGATCACCAAGGGATCCACCGATTTCTTTGATCAGTTTGTCGTCCTTGACGACTGCAATACCGACTGGACAAGTGGAGGTGAATTTGGGTACTCGTCACTCGGAAAGGATGCAACGAGCCAAGATATCTTCCCGCCAACTTCAATTGGGCCCCTGAGCGTCTCCTCAACGGCGTCCGCTGACCTACCATGCACCGCATCCTCGAGTCACTCACACACCGGACCCGTCGGGACACCCGGTGGTGCCCATCAACAACCGTATCATGGCGGAGGCTCAACGCTAAACGTTGGCCACGAAGCTTCCCACCCTGAGACAATCGAACAAAGGCACCTCCAATTCAGTGGCCGCAAGTTACCTGTTGGAGGTTCCATATCGGACGCAGAGCTCTTGAAGCTTGAGGGCCTATCTATGAGATCTCCTATTAGAGCTGTCCGTCCTCCTATCCCGGAAACATTCCTACCGCCATCTCCTCCTCTACAGCCATCAACGACCGCCAGACCTCACACAACCGACGCAAAGAAGCGCAGCCGCTTAGAATCCATCTATGCGACAATACGCAAGGCAGCTCACATACGAACTAGGCCCCGTGTCGACCAACAGAGCGTTCCGATCCCCCAGACTGTTATGCCGGCGCACCTCGGCTCACCGCCCAAGAGAACTCATAGAAGGCTGAAGTCTGAGAACATGACCGCAACTCAATCGCGCAATTTCCCGCTCTCCCCCCCTATGAGCAATCCTATGCCCGACCTGCCTCAGCACTTGAAGGCTGAACCCGGTTTCGTCGCCGGCTTCCTTGATGACCCCTTTTTCGAGCCGAACGGCCACCTCGCTCCACCCGCTCAGATCAATGGGGCTGCCATGCCGCATACACCACTCGACACACCTCAAATGGAAGGCAATAACAGGCATGCTGTGGGAATTGCGCCCACATCCCTCGCCTTGGACTCGCATGGCATACCCACAACTGCATGGCCACTGACGACCACCACCATGGCAGAAGTCACAACCATGGATTGGCCCTCTGCAACGTACGTCACAGCGTCTGGAGACGATGGTCACTGGTGGGAGGGCTCTGGATCACACGACATTGACATGGCTGGAGGTCATGACTACCAAGCCAATGCCAGGCACGCATCCATGAACCTCAACCTCCAGCTCCAGCCCTATGAGTTCCACAACAGCGGCATAGATGACATGTCCAACGGTGGACTGATGATCCACAT